GCAGGTTGAGTTTTAGGGAAAAGTGCCTCTGAATCACGCAAATGGCTTGGTGAGCTGGGAGCTGCTGCCGTATGACCTAGCTCTGAAGGACAGCTATTGGGTCAACACGTTAGCTTTAGTGAGTGTACCGTACATAGGAGGAAGGCGGTTTTTTGTGTTTTGTTTTTAAAGCTGCGTAGAATGAAGAAGTCAGAGGGATTTCACTTAAAGAAGCAGTAGTCTCTTTCTGCCATCTGTTTTCAAAGAGAGCAACTTATATACACATGTCATTCAGTGGAGCATGCTGTCAGCAGCAACAATTTCTGCTGATAGGGGAACTTCAGTGAGAAGATTCATAACAAAAGTCTTTATTGTATAGAAACACACCGTTCTACTTGGGATCCAGATTCCAAATGCTTTTAAGGACTATGACTAAACCATCATTTGTGCCTGAGATGAATGATATCTGAGTACAGAAACTGCCTGGACTAGCTTGCCTTGTCGGGCCATTCCTGTACAATATGATAGCGTAGTACTGGAAGGTCCGTCTGGTTTTACAACCTGCAAATGCATCGAGACCTATGAGATGTGATAAATTGAGTGAGTCAGGCTGATATGCTTCCTTGCCTACTCAATATTATTATAAGGATTTCTGGTTTGTTTTTCTTCTTGTTCAGGTGAAGCTCTGATCTGAGTACGAAAGAAAAATTTTCTTTGTTATACAGCTGTTAATATTTGTTTAACATGTATTAATCCATTCACCTTGCTCTGTTTCTGAAACTGCCGCGCAGCTATGGTCAGTTAATCAGCTGTAGTTTTCTGGTCCTGAGGGGCTGAATTTGTGGGAGATGTTGTGCAATGTCTTTTCTGTAGTGTATCTAAATCACAGGAACGTTGTGGCATAACTGTGAATACCATGTGGCCTTTAAAAAGGCACGGTAATTGCATATTACATATTCATGACTGCAGGTAAGTGTGATCTGGAAGGCAGGTTTGAAGAAGTTTGGCATTTGGGCGGCAGCTTCAAAAAGAAGAAAACCTGAAAGTTAATTGGAGAAAATGACAGTTCCCAGTCTACTGGTGTGCCTTCAAACAGCATTGGAGCTAAATACTCATTATGATTGTACATATGCGCGTCCACAGATTCTCTTGTTATTTTATTTTAACATAGACTCTGCAGTCATTACAAGCTATGATTATTCATTTATTCAGCCCCAGAAACTTTGGCAAAACAATGAATGGAGGATAGACGACTTCATCCCAAAGAGTTTCGATGTAAGCATAGCTAAAATCAATTGAAAAATCACAATGGTCAAAGTGGATGACCAGTGCTGCAGCAGTACAACCCAAATCACGTTTTTTTTTTAATGCCTTGCAGTTCAGATTGAGCCCGTTTGTTCTAGCTGACTGGCTTTTTCTTTGGAAGTGTGAAGCTCAGCATTTTCAGAGCAGTGTGAAATAAGGAATGTAGAAAAAGGACTTGGAGCAGTGAGGTGGCTAATTGAAAAATGCTATTGGAGCTGTGCTTTCTAACAAAGAATCTGGCAGGTTTTTGTGAGTAAGTCACTTCAGAGTTGAGTTTTGATCTTGAATTTCGAAGGAGTCGCATTTATTTTTTAATAGCAGCGTTTTGATAAAAAGGAAAAAACCTCCTCTTGGTTACCATAAAGTCTAAGTGTCTGTGACTGTCTTTCTAACAACAAATATAGAGAAAGCAAGACTAGACTGTTAGGTCCAGGAGTTTCCAAGTGTTAGTCTAGTGTATCTCCAAGTGACATGTCTTGAACTTAGCAGCCATGTGAACGCTGAGGATCTTTAGTCTTATCTTCGTTTTGCTTGGACAGCTGAAATATGTTTCTGTGGCCTCTGTATGGTCTTTCCCCAGGTCCTATTGACAGTGCCATGCAGGTCATTGATGATTTCTTGAATCCAAAAGAGACAAGCGCAGTCACAAAACGTAATGATGCTTTAAAGCAAAACAATTCTATAAGCTACAGCTCAGAGGAGAGATGTTATCATCTCATTCAATAGCTTATCTTCCCTTGTGAGCTATCTTGTGTGTTTTGCATTGCCTTGCAAAACTCTTTTTTTTTTTTTTTTTTCCTGAAAGACCTTTGTCCATTCTATAAAAGCATTTTGCATTTGACCTCAGCTGATAGCTCTTGCTTCTGAGAACTCCACTGAGCTGAAGGGAGGGGGACCAGTAGGATAGAAGTAAAAGCCTGCTAATACTGTGGCTTCTTCTGTTCTCTGTCAAATATTATGCAGAGTGAAATATAACACATCTGACTGCTTGATTTGCTAATTTCTGTTTTGGAGCACAGCTGGTAGGCAGGTGGACTGTTAAAAGGCAAGACAAAGATCTAAGATCCACGATCTTCTGAACTTCCAAGCAAAAAAAAAAAAGATGTTTTATGCTGCTTGAACACCAAACACTGTTGGAGAGAAGCGGAAGAATTTGGAATCAGAACTGTCTTGCTTTTGGATCTCTTTAATACGGTGCATTTTTATGCAAGAAGCATGCACACCAGAAGGTGATTTTTTGTGCGTAACTCTTCCCAAATGTATGAATCAAGAGTCTCTGAAGCAACATCTGGAGAAGTCCCAAGAGAGAAAACTGTGATTTCTCTGAATACAAAGATCTGTTCATTCACGAGATTCTGGTATTCAGGCAGAAAACAGCGCAGTTCTCCCGTTTTCATTTAATGGGATTCGTTGCTAGTGCAACGTTTAACTTTCACTTTTGCCTTTTCTTCCAAGAACATTATGCAGCACCACAGTCACTTATTGGTGCTTATAGATAGACCTTTTGGGGAGATTTTTACCCTGGTCGTGCCTGCTGTCATCATTCAGCTAGAGTAGGTGTTCTCAGTGCTTCCAGCAGTCAGTTTTTCAGTCTCGGCTGTGTAAGCATGCATATGGTATATGAGTTAAATAGCATACAGACTTCAACTTGTGCAGTTGGAATCCTAATGAAAATCTTCAGGCTGTCTCCACTGGCAGGTTCAGTATAATGGTCAGAGACGAGCACTGGAAGGGGGAAGCAGGAAGAGCGAGGAGTTCTGCTTTATCTCATCCATATATGAACAAAGTAAAATTTTAAGAGTGTCATCAACGTTGAACTGTAACTTCGAAGCGAAAGGACTATGGACTGAAAAGGGCTGTGAGAGCAGCTTCTCGAGAACAACCAGTGTTAGCATTTCTTTGTTAGGTGACTGGATTCAAGATGGGTAGTAAAAGTTCTTCTGTTTTTTCCCTGCATTTAAAAGAGCATTCCTGTCCTGCCCTGCACAGCCTGTTTATTACATGGCAGTTACATGGGCATTTCTGACTTGATTTCCTTGTGGTGACATCTCTCAGGTTGGAGCAAGTTGCTTGGGAAGAGGCTTGGCTGGGGCGGGTATGCACTGAGGCTGTTTACACTGAAAACTTTATGCTACTGAACAGGTCCTTCTGAATGCCATAAAATGTACACAATTTCATTGTGAGCAGGGAAATACTGATACTGCCATTTGGCAGAGCGTGGAAATGCGTCCACAAGAGTTAGATCTCAGAGGGAATGTGTGAATGAAAAAATAGCACAATTTTTTCTCCTTTTCTTTGCAGACTAGAGATAAGCTGATGCTTGCATGCACATATGCAGTGCCCAAGGTCTGCAGCGTGTCAGGCATGGAGTGCCACATTGTCTTTCTTTCTACCAGAACATTTATGCTTTAATTTGGGAAACGTGGTGGGAACCGATAGCATCTTGTTAATGAGAGAGACTTTCTGATAATCTCACTGGTGGTATCGTGTCTCCGTGTGAGAAACTAACTCCTGGCCCCTGCTGCGGTGACGAAGTGGGCAATAACACAGCACTTGGAGTTGCTCTCGGGGCAGAAGCTGTGCAAGGCACCCTTGGCACCCAGGCTGGGAGTTGCCAGCCCTTTTGTTATGCTATTAAACTATACCATAAACTCTTCAGTTCAGTGAGGGGAGGGGCAGGAAGGACTCCTACTCATTGCGTTTTTCCTTGTCTAATTTAATATTTCTTATGTCACCCTGGAATCCTTTGGTCATGTTCCAGAGTCCTTGTGTGAACTAGTGCCATTTAGATGCCTTTAATGAGGTTGAAAGAGATTGAGGAACTGGTGACTTTTTTAAAGGGTATTTGCATGATTTGCATGCCATTCCTTCACAATTCTGTGATAGTTTCCAAAATCTATTTAATCTTGTCAGTGGTATCTATTTGCTGTTTGAGGAGGAGCCTCAGAGAGACGTGTGGCTTCCAAAATGTCTGATAAATACTGGACAGGTTATTGAGTATTTTTAATTTACTGCATTTTGGATATGTTGGGCAGGGATTCTCTTACGCATGAGTGCAGGCAGAGCTGTTTCACCAGAAATCCAGAACTACAACCTGCTGCGTTTTGGTTCTGGAAGAGCTCTACAGGCTTTCAATTCATTGCAGCGTAATACTGTTCATCAAACAAATCGCACACAAACCCGTATGCCTTCTCTGCAGTCAGTTAACTCCTTTCTAACACTTGAGAGAGCACTGCAGCAGGAAATCTGGGTCATACACCCTACAAAGGACAAACGACTACAGATAACAAGAGCTTGTGTGCTCTCTGTCGCTGAAGAAGAGACTAAAATTAGCTTCTGACTCTTATTCGAATTAAAAATTACCCAAGGGGAAAAGAACTAATTCTCAAAAAGACAACTGTTATGTCTTAAACCCACACAGTCTCAACCACATATTACTCCAACTAAAGAACAGAAATGCAAAATAAAAAGGCGGTAACCAAACTTTCTGGGAGAAAGGGGATTTCGTTTTCCCTAGTGTATCTCAGAAGGGAAATACAAATAAAGTTATTGGGGACCCCAGATAAGTGTTCCTATGCCACCCTCCATACAGTGCTGCAGCAGCATTTCTTCACTCTACCCTCTCCAAAACATCACAGTTTTTAGCTGTGGAGTAGTGCCATATACACATTTTGTCAAAAGAAATCTTAACTAAATGGATCTTACAAGACCAGTGAATGAATTGGCTGCTGGCACAACTTTGTGCAGGATCAGCATTTTCTACAAGCATTTATAAAAAGTGATAGCAGAACCAGAGAGTACGAATATTGCTAAGTCGCTGCCTGATGCCAAATGCTGTCAAGAACACACAATTTTGTTAATGTAGTTTTAGATTAAGAAAACAAATCGTATGTCCAGATTAAGGAATACCCTCTATTTATGGCATAATCTCTCATTTTGCAGCACAGTGCTTATAAATCCCTTGCAACTTTGGAGATCACCTTCTCCAGCAGAGCAGATGTAGTGATTTTTTTATATCTCTGAATATCAAGGGTTTTTCTGTAATGTTAAATAAAATGTTTTCCTAAGCAATAAGGACTATATGGAGGTGAAGGCAGATCACATTCTATAGCAATAAAGCCTTATGTGCAGTATAAGACAAAATGGAACTAAAAAAATGATTGTTACAAGTAGCTTTGCATGAAGATTGGAAAAACATCGTTGGTAAACAGAAAAAGAGATGTGTGAAGTCCTGGGAGCCTGGTGTTCTCAAACAAAATCTGCCTTATTCTGGGGGACAGATTGGGGTCTGATGTAAAGACAGAAGGATAGTTGGAGAAGATGGTATCTGTGTTTTTGTTTCTGCTTTAGAATGTTTAGAAGTTTTTTTTTTAGTTTATTTTACATTTTAAAAATGCTTTTGTTTACCCTATTTACCATCAAACATTGGATGCCAAGGATCTAGAAAAACCTAGACTAATTTAGCAGAGAAGGTCAAGTTTGGCTTGAAGGTCCCCTTTTTAGGTGTCTCTGGCAACAGGCTTTACGTTCAACTCGATAGCATCTCTGAATGTGGGTAGTGTAACACAGATAGGGTTTGAATGCTGCAAGTGAGAAGTGTGAAAAATTCAGTGGATGTTCTAGGCACCACTAGACAGAACAATATTGATTTAGGAGGAAATCCCAAGGAGGAAATAGTTCTTGTCAACTGATTACTTGAAGTTATGCTTATGCTACTCTTGCAGACGTCTATAAATTAAACTGCCAATAGTTAGCATCTGCCACTGTCACAGTGCTATAGGTCATCCTTCCCGTAGAATTTAGTCTGGTGCCAGAGTGACTTACTTACCTACCATGCAAATAGTGAGGGAGCATTTGGGAATCAGGAGGAACGCGGATTGTGCTTGGGAGATGTGTACGTAGCCCCAGCCTGGAGAGGAGATTGGGGACATAGCGTGGAACAGAGGGAAGCAGATATTGAGGGACTGCGGTACAGGAGTAAAAAAAGTCCCAGGCAAAAAGGGATGCCCATGAATGATATTGTGACCTGAATTGTCATGTGCTACATGTTTTCATGTGCTGGTAGTTCTTTCCATACTGAAATTCTGGACTTCCTTGAATTCTGTCTCCAATTTGCTATCTTTCCTCCCTCAATTCATGTGGAGATATTATCTACTAAAACAGGGAGGAGGTCATGTTGATTTGGGGGAGATTTTCCTACCTCATAACTTGGCAACAGTGCAGCATCTGAGAAGTTTAAATTGGAATTAGCTACATTTTCCTACTCTCCCAGGAATTCAGGAGTCTTTGAAGAACAGCCCATCTATGTGGGCTGAAGGTAGTGAGCTTGAGGGATAACTGATTCTGTCTGGAAATCTCTATGCTGATCCCTAAAATCAGGAGGGAAGGTTTGACATTGCTTACAGTCAGTGGGGATTTTTTTTTTTTCTATCTTTCTTATACTGGATAGTTTCAGCTCAGAGTAACTGAAGATGGATTGAAGTATAGTACCTAATCAGGAAGATGTGAACAGATTTATTTTTCTTTACAGAAAAGGCCACAGATGGCTCTCTGCAGAGTGAAGACTGGACACTTAACATGGAGATCTGTGACATTATCAACGAGACAGAAGAAGGGTATGTGCTATTTCAGCAAACTTTGAAAGGTTCATGAACGCAATCTTCATCCAGTCGTACTCAGCATGTGAGGAGGTGCAGTGAGTCTGGGGGCAGATGCTTCTAGTTTGAATACAGTTTGCATATGAGTTGCTTTGTTTTCCTGCTCCTTAGACATTTCAGAAAACTACTGTATGATGCAGCACTTTCTGTGGTCAGTCTCTGCTTGGGAAGGCTGGCATGAAAAACGTATTGCTGGAGAGGGTACCAAGTTTGTACTGGGGTTCTTGTTTTCAGCAGGTGTATCTCTTTGCAGTGCTGCAATGCTATTAATTTCAGCCATTTGAATAGAGAGCTTCTCTGATACGTCACCTTCAGCATCAGAAAAGCTGTGCTGCTTGCAGTTTGCAGGAGAACTGATCACTGGTCTTATGCCCTGGGCCTTTTTCTGAGTGGCTGTCGATCTTTCCTGCTTGATCAACACCTTGACTTTTTGGAGGCCTTGGGCATTGCTCTAGTCTTGACTTCTGTGCTATCTTGTCTCTTCACATAATTCTACATGACCCTAGTTTGGTTGTAGTCAAGTAATCTGAAGTTAACACACATGCTTATGTCAGATGTAAACGGTAAAGGATTCCTTTTCCAGTATATGGCATGTGAAAAGCATGTCTGAGCTGTCTTTTAAAAATGGTATGTTTCTCCTTCAGTCCAAAGGATGCCATTCGAGCACTGAAGAAGAGGTTGAATGGAAACAAAAATTACAGAGAGGTCATGCTGGCGCTGACGGTGAGTGGGGGCAGGCTGGAATGCCTCAAAAGGGCAGAAGCCTTTTCTTTTGTCATTTTCCTTTTCCTGGCATTCTCTTGAATGTACAAACTATTTGCTTTAACAGTCACTGCTCTGCCCTTTTCTTCTCTCCAATTGCCTCCTCACTTCCTTGGGGAGAGTTGCTGGAAGCTTTGCATAGCGTTTTTCTGACTCAATTGATTTCTGCTTTTTTCTGGGCTTTTATTCATCCCAAGTACTGACTGAAAGTTAAAGTAGCCCAAATGGGTCTGTGTACCCTTTGGGGCTTTCCCTTCTACTTTCATCTCCCTGTGTCCTACTGTTTCTCCACTCCAAGACAACAGCTGTGGGCATATCTGCAAGTGAGGGTGATGAACTTGCCATATTTGCAGCTTCATAAATAGCTGACGCACAATTTCCCTTGTGAATGGATCTCTGTAGGAGACTCGAATTAATTTATGCTGATCTAATTTTACTCAGTAAAGTGTAAATTATATTCTGTGCATTTAGGCAGCACTGCTAAGGTGTGAGATAATTTGCCAGTGACCTTTCCTACTGATGGCTTCAGCTAGGGGTTTCCTGGGTAATGCAGCACTCCTGAATGCGCGGTGCTGGGCAGGCTCTGCGCCGCAGCAGTCTGAGGAATGAGCAGCAGTAACTAGATCGAGTTATACTGCTGTGGGTAGGTGATCTGTATGATTCTTTCACACAGCTCTTGTCGCATCTCGCTGACGAAGCGTGACTGTACTTTCTGTCTTCTTGCCATTTCCTATCCTGGATTGTCATTTTGACAGATTACCAAAGACCAAACCATGAGATTATCCATTGTGCAGCAAAAAGCGAAATTCATCAGGAATGAGTCCATGTCATCAGGGCTGATGAAAGTAGCTGAAGTAGGACAGTAATTACAGACTCCTCAGATACAGAGTTGCAGTGGTTATTAGGCATGGCTGTAAGGAGAAGTGACGCATTGGATTTATCTCCATGCTAATCATGTTCTTCAGAGAAAAATCAACAGCTGTTCTTCCATGGCAGTTGAATGGCAAGTGGAAGGTGCCTCTAGCTAGGTTGCAGGGGGAAAATGTGTCAAAGTATAACCTGTCAGAGCATTCACAAGGGAGTGTTTTGAATGAGTGAAGATCATTCACCTGAATTCCCAACTCTAAAACATGGCTTATAGCTCAGAGCAAGCGGGTCCAGCTGTGTTCCAGGTACATAGAAAATGGTGGAGTGCCAGAGCACGATAATATCTCACTGTGACATGATGTCCTCTGTCTTACCTGCTCTTGATGTGATACTGTGTATTTAGCTGTTGAGCTGTGCAGGTTGGGAAGTTCTGCTTTGAAGAGGAAGAAACTTTATATTTCTTTACCTTGAAAACAGGCAAAGGTAGATCACAAAAGTGCTCAATATGTTAATGGTGGGTGAGGTACATCTAAATGTGTGCGTAGAGAAGGAAACTTTTTGGTAAAATTGGGGAAGAAAAGAAGAATTAAGAGTATAAGTGTAATTTCTCCTCTGTCTTCTCTCCCTCCTGTCAAAAGTTTTAAAATTAAAAAAAAGCAAAATTGGAAACCAACCACATAGGTACTATGTGTGTGATCAAGCTTTGCTCCAACAATGAATGTTTTTTTGTGTGTGTGTAGGTGTTGGAGACCTGTGTGAAGAACTGTGGCCATCGCTTTCATGTCTTAGTGGCAAACCGTGACTTCATAGATGGTGTTCTGGTGAAAATCATCTCGCCCAAGAATAATCCCCCCACTATTGTACAGGATAAAGTACTAGCACTGATTCAGGTATACAGCTTGTCTCTGCTTCCATATGTTGATACCTGAAATTAGGAATGTCTGCTTCAGTGCTACGCATCGCTAAACATGCAGTCATCATTAAAAATGTGGCAAGTTTTTTATATGTAAAACCAAACAATATATCCGGGTTGGCAGGGAAGAGCAGATATGCACACGCATAGATATTTTATCTAGGGAGAAATGTCTGGATTCTAGTTAGACAGGTACCAGTCTACTCTAAAAAAGAGGACTTAATAAAAGATAAATGGATGGCTTTGCAATTTAACAGTCAAATCTAGAAGCTGGAGACCTGCTTCTGTGATGGGCTTGTCATCTGAGGCCAGGAAATTTTAGAAGATCGTGCTTTTGCTGTCAGTTGCAGAACGCTTACCTTTCTGTGTCTGTTTCCCTGACCGTAAAATGGAGCTGTTTCCCTCCATTAGAAAGCATTCTGAATTCCTTTTAAAGATGGTTATAGAAAAGTAAATGACCATATAGGAGTTAAAATGGTTTTGGTGTCTTTTCTCTGGCTATTGTGCACTGTCAGATCCTTGCCTGCAGTGGGGAAGTTCAGACATAGGCCTGTCTGCCACTTCTCCTTCTGTGCAGGATAACAATAAACAGCCATGTTAATTCCACAAACCATTAGCAACACATGAGGAAACATTGGTGCCTGCCTGGAGGAAATCTGACAATTATAGGAAGCTTTATCGCTAAGCTCCTACAGGCTATTGCATACACCAGAGACTAAAAGACACTGTGTGTTTAAAATGATATAAACCTGCTGCAGTGTTTCTTGTGGGAGGGTACTTACAAATGCTCAGTATAGTTTCCCAGATATATTTCTGATTTTTGTGGCAAAGCATGCAGTTGAATTTCTGCTGGTTTATTTGTTATTTGGATACACAGATAGAACATCATTAGAGCATGACAATGTAAATAAGTCATTTCCGAACAGGAAATAGGCTGGGTGGGGAAATTAGGTGGGCATTGCATTGGAGTCTGTGGGCTCCCTTTATTTCTGGTCTGTGATCCCAAGGCTTTCTAAAAAAATTGCACAAAATTAATGAAATTATTAAAAACAATTCTTGTACATCCGACTAAGCCCTTGGGTGTCTGCCTGCTTTGGTTGGAGAGCTGATGCATGCGGTGACCAGGAGATGAGGCTAAATGCTGTCCCATAAAGAGAAACTGTGCGTGTTTCCGTATTGTTTGCTCTGCTACAGTGTTTTAGAGGATGTTGGTTACGCTGGGTCCTGGATGTAATTGGATTCCCAGTCATCAATGCAACTAAGATGGAAGTGTTTGTAACATAACCAAAAAGCCGCAGTCATTGCCTCAGTGTATTAAACAGAGCTTTATCTGAGTAGACTTAGTGCAGTAGAGCTAAAAGTCTCACTCTGGGTACCAAATGCCTTTTGGTATAAAAAGCCTGAGAATTATGAAAGTTGCCTGTGGGTGGGTTCTGTTAGTGTCTCTTTAACTGGAGGTGGTAGGGGACTTTGTTTTCCAGATTGCCTGACAAGTTTGGAAAAGTAATTGCAGTCACTCATCTCTGCTGCCCTCTTGACATGCACACCCAAAATATCCCGTACGTCATGGCCACTTTGCTCAGCTTAGACTTTGCTCTTTAGAGCTCCCTGCAGTTGGAGTTAACTCTGTGCCAGGGGTCTGATCTCTTCTCAGCTCCGCTCACTAACGTTACAATTATCCCCTTCTGTAGGCTTTTTACAATTTGATATCAGGGAATTAATAAGAACAGAAATGAGAAGATTAATAGCAATTGGAAGCATGGAAAAAAGCGGTACAAACAGCATATGTCTTCAGCCATACAGCTCTTGTACTCCTGGGCCTTTTCATAGCAAGGGTAGATAAAGCTGCCATCCGATTTCTTATCTAGAGACTTGACTGTTTTGAGATGTTGGGCATCTTGTGTCTCACTTGGTTAACCTATTTCCCAGTGTACATGAATTAACATGTATTACATATTGCTTATCCTTCCTTCTTCACCTTGTTGAAAGGCCTTGGAAATATTCCTTATTGCTGTGCCTCTGGTAAGAGCTTGCATATCACCTCTGAGTTCATACCACCTTGCTGCCCAGTAGCTGAGCGCTGTCATCAAAGATGAATCATGAGGAGACTTTTAGTGGCACAGCAAATTCTTTTGAAGGTACATGTGTTAAAAAGTGTCCGACACGGGAAGAATTGTCTTGTGATGGGCACTGATTTAGGGGCCAGCTTTGGAATGGTATTTAATTAGCCTGTTTGGGCACGCTGAGGTGCCAAGTGGGATTTATACAGCAGCATCCTTAAGTATCTACCTTTGATAATCTTGCCCAAAGTCTTAAAAGATCTGAATTCAATCTCACCTCTGTCGTGCACTTGTTTGGACAATGGGCAAGTCTCCTAAGATCTGTGTGTAGCTCCTTATCTGTAAAGTAGAGCTAATATTACTGTTGCCTAGTTGAAGTGTAAGCTGTCTAGGACAGGGATTGTCTTACAGTGTGTAGACAGCACTTAGAACAGTAGCGCCCAGTCCTGCTTGTGACCTCTGAGAGACACACTAATGTAGATAATGCTCTCAGCTCAGGTGAAGAAGAATACAAATGAAAGTGTCTCCTTTCTCCAGGGAAGAGAGTTGCAGAAGAGAGAATATATTAAAAAGATAGAGTGCAAATGAAGTGAGTTCGCTAAAACAAAATCTGTAGGAAGCCAGTGAAAGAGAGGATGCATTAGTACATCCTCCTGGGCAAACAAGCCTCATTAAAAGTTGGGGGCAGCAATGTAGCATACTTTTGACTCTAAGTTTCTTTTGAGTGGTTATTAAATAGAGCATCCCTTGCCTAACATTTTTCACTGTTACCTGCAAATAGAGTTGAAGTGGGGAACACCATTATGTAGAAGCATCATTCAGATGACTTCTTACGTAAGTTGAAAATGCAAAGAAAGTGCAAGGGTAGAGTTACTTGTACTGTCAGTATCTCCGTCAGAATTAGGGATGGTTTTGGAAGGTCAGTTGCAAGGCAACAGAATGGCTCTTTGCAGTCAGAGCTATTTTCTCTGGCTCAGATAGGGCTGTTTGGACTTGCACTGCATCAGTACAGTTGATGCGGTTAATTTACTCTTAACAAAGCTGAGAAGCAAACCCAGAGTTGTTAGCTTGCAACTGATAATGGGTTGTCTCCTGGGCATGTAGGGTAGGGAATGCTCTTAGAATTGAACAGAATAGGAATGTAAGTTAAATATTAATATTATTTCTTATCTTGTTTTGCTAACTCTGATTTCTCTCCTCTCAAATATAAAAAGTGGTTAAAAGCAGCTTTTAAAATAAAAATAGTCAAAGAGCTAGTGTAAAAGTGATGAATAAATTAATTAAGTTCAGAGCCCACACACACGTCTCGCAGTACTTCTGGATCCAGCACACTGATACTCTGCCTCACATATGTGGGGGTTTGGCGAATGCTTCATTTCTAACTGAGTCATAATATTTCAATTTTTCCTTCCCCTAAATTTTTAATATTTGGCTAATTTTCAGCAAAAGTGAAAAGGGGTAGAGGCTTTCTAGATATTATGCTCCTAGCAGCTTCATGAGTACAGGAGGCTGGCTAGCGAGAGAAACACTTAGCATTGCCACTGAAGGAAAAGCTCAACTGTGAATTGAAATCTTTTTAGACATGAGAGAATTCATGCGGGAGAGATATTATGAATGTTCTGGCTGTGGGAAATTCTCCCTTTAAACTTGTTCTCTCTGACACACCGGGGTGTCTAAGTGTTGGATATGCTCTGTAAGAACCCAGGCTTCATTAGTTCTGCTGCTCATGTTTCACAATATAAGAACCTCAGAAACTACCTTTTTTATTTAAGTTTGGTCCAAATAAAATACTGAAGAAAACTTGACAGCTGTGTTTTTTCTTTGGCAACAAATGAAGGTGTTTCACAAAGTAAATTGAGATGACCTAAGATTATTGTATGACTTTATGAATTTTGCTTAGATCAGTTTAATCTTTCACACAGACCTCTTCTGGTGGGTCATTGGCCATAGAATATGCAAGAAAAGGTCAGCATGCAATCACTGCTAAGTAGAGGAGATTGGAAGAGGCTTTCATTTGCATTTACAGATTTTGATGATGTCAGGGGCTAGACATAGCTACTGTGCACCGGGTTCCTATTTTATATTTGAATAAAATGTGTACGTGACTGTCTTAATAATATTTGCAGGGTCTTTTAGACCAGGTCTAATGATTACAGCTTCCCTTTGAAGCTGAAATACATGAAAGCTTTTGTAGTCAGTATCTGAGGTTAGGGTGGAGCTGGAACTTCGTTTGGAAGGTTTATGGATAATCCCTCATGTTTTCCAGGCTTGGGCTGATGCCTTTCGAAGTAGCCCTGATTTAACTGGAGTAGTGCATATTTATGAAGAGCTCAAGAGGAAAGGCATAGAGTTTCCCATGGCAGATCTCGATGCTCTGTCTCCAATACACACACCACAGAGGGTAAGCTGCAGCATTGCAATTCCAGGGGTATTTTCCCAAGATGTCTAAATAGTTGGGTAACTACTCTTCTTTCCCCTCCTGTTTCTCTAAATCTGGCTCATTTTCTCACTCCTAGAATGACTTTTTTAATAGTGAAAGGAGTGTATAGTGTAGGAGAAGCATAATGCAGCTGCATTTGACAGGCTGATAAGCTAATGGAATCTCCTCCCTTGAGTCAAACATCAATCTGAGAAAAGAGTTTGGAGGAGGTTAGTACACTTGTCTTGTACCACAAAACCACCAGACAAATGCAACTAATTGGCTCAGAGAGAGTCCAGCAGGATATATGATTGAGATTTACTTCTTGTTGTCAAAAGTATGGTTGTTTCTGTTGGTGGTAACCCTGAACCAAGGCCTGCTTGTCTTTCAAAGGTGTACAGAGTCTGAATCTCTCACGGGGCCCATGGTAACGTGAGGTCTTTACACCTTTGAAAAGTTAGGTCTGTAAAGGTGACAGAACTGCTGCTAGGAAGTAACTTAATGATCACAGGTATTCTGGTTATTCACTCTGAAAACTGAAGTTAATGAATCTTTGAAGTGGTAAATGCAAGTGATCAAGGACTGAAAGTTTACAATATGTATGCCAAGATTAATTAAATCCAGTATCTATGTATCACATCGTTTTTTGTAAGCCTGCAACTTAATTCCTAGTTCAAAATAATTTATAATTATTTATCTTTGGCTCTTGTTTTTATTTTGCTTCTCACTTTTCTTGTAAAGGTAAATTGACTTAAATGCATGTGGCTTGGGTCAAAAGATATGGGCATGCATTTTTGTTGCAGCTGTCTGTTTATGGGCTGGCCTGCCAGTCTGTTCTCATAACTACACTGACCTTTTCCACAAGGTGCAATTACGTTCTATATTTGAACGTATTTGGCCTGAGATTGCTGACAAAGCAAGTGCTGTCACAATTCAGCTTTTGAACTCCTATCTTTCTGATGTGGCAGAGTGTTCCTGAAGTTGATCCTGCAGCAAATATGCACAATTCACAGTCTCAGCAAAGGATGAGCACCAGTTCTTATTCTTCATCTTCTCCAACGGCGTATTCTGCTCCTCAGGCCCCAGCTCTGAATGTGACTGGTCCCATCACTGCTAATTCTGAACAGGTATTGGGCTGATGATTCTTTTGAGTGAGACTCTTTCAGCAGATGAAATTAGAAACCAATTTGCAGAGCAACTTTCATTTTAACTCTTTTGACTTTGATTGCCTCCTAGGTCTGGTTCTACTTAGAAATCTTTCCTCCTATTATACTGTAAAATCTAGGCTTTAGATTTGTGTGTATGGCCTCCTAATGGCAGCAGTTATGAAACCTCACAATCTGATATACCAGTCCACTCAGCGGTTGTGCAATAGGTTAGCAGTTATTCTCATTAGTCCCCCTCCTTTAAAGGCACAGAATGTCTTGCAGATGCAGGAAGTCTTTCTAACAGGGAGTTAAGTCTGCATCCGTAAGGCCGTTGCAAATGCTCTAATATAGGATCTTCTTTTCTCTCTGCAAAAATAACCACTTCAAAGCCAAAGATCCTGCTCCAAAGTTGTACATCTTTCCCCACATTTGAGCGAGGCACGCAAGGTGTACTGCAACCGGGTCTGTTTTTAGCTGCTGTTTTCAATTGCTTCCCTTCCATACAAGCATAGCACATCTGGGTTTGTGATGATAGTGAGTGGTTCTACAAAGTTCTTTCCTTTTTCTGTTGCTTTTCTAAAATTCTCTACTGGGTAACCTTTTTATCTTTACATTTTTTTTCCCTGCTAGAATTTTTGGAGCCTCAGATATCAAGTCAGACAGAACCGGAGGTATCACAAAGTCAGTTCTTGAAAATGATCTGCTTAAACCAAAAAATTATGCAGTATTTTGCTGTCTTTTTACCCCAATTTAGATTGCCCGGCTGCGCAGTGAACTGGATATTGTTCGTGGGAATACAAAAGTGATGTCTGAAATGCTGACAGAAATGGTACCTGGACAAGAGGATTCCTCAGACCTTGAGTTACTCCAGGTAACAGTTTCCTAGCAAATATGATTCTGATCCTTTCTGTGCTTGAGTTTTTCTCGGGAGATGGTTTTTGTTGTAGTTCACTTCACTGCCTTTGTTTGTTTGTTTTACAAAATTAATGTGGACTGCGCTTGACCCTGGTTAGTCTCATTGAACTTGATGTTCTTCATTTGTTAAAGCTTCCAGTGACAAGGATTTCCTAACTTCCCTTGAAACTTGTTCCAGTGCTTTCTTCTCCGTGTAGCTAGAAATTTTTCCCAATGTTGAATATAAGGTCTTCTTTACCACTAAGCAGCTTAAAACTGCAATAGGCTTTGTAAGCCCTGAGCATTTCTGCTTCTTTTGCACCCTCCATCATCACTCGTACAGAGGCAAAACATTCCGGGTCACTATGCAAGAAAAAACCACTCCATATTTCCAGCTGGGCTAAGTATTGCCAAGGGTCTGTGGATTCTCTGCCACGCAAAATCTTATATATGAACTAACTGTCTTTCCAGAAGATGTGCTATAGCTTTTCCTGAAGGTAGTGGCTTAAGGCTGGCGCTCAGGTGAAGTTTCATGCTGTCCGGAGGGTTAGACTGGGTAATTAGAAGGGGTTTCTTTGCTGGAAAGTCTCAATCCAGTGCAGCATTTATTATCTCAAAAGGGAAAGCAGTTTTGGTTGAGTTCATGTCTCAGGCTTCTTACCTGTTTCCCCAGGCCAGTGGTAGCGGGGTGCCCTTTTGCCTGAGGAAAGTAATACAGTACCACATGCAACACAGATGAGGAATACTGTGATCTAGCATTCCAGCTGCTGCCCTTAACATGGTATTTGCCTTTCCATAGCTTCAGAAATAGGCTTCTGTTTTGATCTTCCAGCAGGGATGATGGGCTCCCAGAGCAGTACATTTGGAGGAAGGCAGCGAATTGCTCTCTGTGATACATCAGAGTTTGAAATCCATCCAAAAACTGGTCTCTCCCATGCAGCGGTATTGTGTGTTTGTCTCAGAGCCATCATGGCAGCTGATGAGAGGCTTTGCAATAAAGAGCCTTTCAGTTATTGCCCATTTGGGTTGGACGGCTCAAAACAGAAGAAGCTTCCAGGAAACCACGACAGACCAAAACAGTGTAGAACAGTTTGCTTACATTCAGAAACAACTACTAACATCTTGACAGCGTAACCTTACAGCATAGCTTTAAGGTGAAAGAACTTGATCATAAGACGGAGTGACAGCAGCGATTCTTTATTCCAACTGGTTCCCTTCTTTGAATGATGTATCCTAAATCTGAATCACAGAGCTGGGGAGAACCCGGTTTTGATCACAAAGAATGGTTAGTCTTTTGAAAGCTGTGAGCTGGGTAATGCGTGCAAGGACTCCTTGCTTTGAGGTTTATATAGCCCTCCTCCTTAAATAATTCCTGACATTTTCTCCAACAATCAAATGTAAACAGCTTGCTAGAGAGCCAGCTCTGAGCAGAATAGATAGGTACTGTCAGCCCTCTCGGAAAGGCAGCAAACAAACCTCTGAAATGTCACAATCTGCTTCTAAAGTGATGGGATCAAAACTGACATTGGAGAACACATTCCTCAAGCTGTTAAGGCAGCTGGATTGCACTAGGTGAAATTTATCCAGAGCTTAGGATGTCAGACGAAGCAAGGAAAACAAACACATTTTTGCTTTCATCCCGAAGGTTGTGTACCAACAAGTCATCCTTGTTTAGTGCTGAATTTTTGCTGTGAAGTGGAGCTGGAGAGGTGTGTGTGGAAGATGACAAAGGGACATGCTTTAGTTGAAATGTCAGTGCTTATTGAAGTAAAACTGTGGGCCTAATCAGTGGCGCCATGCCATATGTCACGTTTCTTCTTGTAGTTCCTGCTCAACGTACCGGTTTTGACCTTTGGTCTTGAGTCTTTTCAGGAGTAAAGAATTCTGCTAAATAATTGGTGATGGAAGATATGTCCTGGAAGCATGAGAACTCCTGTTTTAGGCAAACTCAAACCTAGATTTCTTGGCATGAGAGACTTCTAAAATAAATGCCCTTACTCTATATTCTTTAAAATTTCTACTGAAACTCCCCACTGCCTTTTTGCAGTCTCTTGTCTGTGGACTTGTTCAGTTGAAGGGAATGTTTCTGTGTATAGTTCAATACTGAAGTGTGTGTGGAGTGCTCATCTTTTCATGCTCCTGCTCCTTGTTTTGTGTTCACACTCATGTTTTCAGTATTTGGTAAGTTCTGTGTCCCCAACCCATCTCCTCCTGCTGTGTAGCACACACTTAGCTACTTGTGTGGCTATGATGAACTTTCTTCCCAACTTGTTCCACCACGTGCATCTTTCATTTTTAAGGATGATATTGCCAAAAAGAGCAGATTGAATTTTCCTTGAAAGCTCTCTTCTGAAAAGCTGTTGTATTAACATGTTTTATTCTTAAAACAGATCACTAAAATACAGATATTTATTTTCTGAAGTGCTCAGAGTTAAAGAAGAATCAGGATGTTGAATTGTAAATAGGCTCTCAAGGTTTTATGCCATCGTCTCTTGAAGGGCATGTTTGATTAGATGTGCTTTTGGGTGACATTTAATCATGCAAAGATAGACTTGTCTTAGTGTTTCTCAGCTGGGGGATATGTTTGGCTGTGAACAGAGCTCGGCTAAATCTACTTATTGCTAGCTGCTTATCAGAATGTGTGTGCACAATGCATTCCTCCTAGGAACTGAACCGAACTTGTAGAGCTATGCAGCAGAGAATTGTGGAGCTTATCTCACGAGTGTCCAATGAAGAAGTCACAGAGGAACTGCTGCATGTGAATGATGATTTAAATAACGTCTTCCTCAGATACGAAAGGTGGGGCACCTTTTCCATCAACTGTTTACATTTGTGCTGGGTTTTCATTTAAGTGTAAAATAGGTCAGCTGACAAGAGTTGGTCATCTGGGCCAGTGGTCCAACATAACAAAATGCAGAGAACCAAACCACAGAAAGCATTTAGAAAGTCTTTTTGTGATCTTCTATGGTAACATTCCTGTTTCAGTTGTTTCCTTTAATACTATGGGTTTTTTTTTTGTCCTAGCCATTTAATTTTTGTGGTGCATATCCGTAAAATGCAGGGCAACTTCGTGAAAACTCTCTCAACTGGCAGAGACTTAAGTCTGCAAGTCCCTGTTGTGCAATGCTATACAGATGTAGGGAGTTGGGACCGAAAATAGCACAGCCACAGTCACTAGTTCCGCTTGTTAGCCTGGGCTCTGCACAAATGCTTGTGCTGCTTCCTGGCTTAGGGAGGCTCTCGTGAGCTCTCTCTGTCTTCTGATCTCTGAGCTTTCTAGTTCCAGTACTGGTGCAAGGGGAGCTGCCTGAGGTGGGCGTGACCTTCGTGCATGTAAGGGTTTTGTTTTTAAGTAACACTTAAAATCTTGAAAAAAGCCTGTCTTGTGCAGAGCTGAGGTTTTGAAGAGTTGGTCTGCGGGAATCATCCTCAGGGGCGAGACTTGGGTCATAGGACATGTTAGACAAAGGCGCTGTCAGCCACATCTGCTGCAGTAGGTGACACGTGATACAGCAGTCTTGGGAAAGTTTAATCTTCCCCTTAATGACAGGCCTGGGGAGTGAGGCACTAAAGAGTACCCTTTGTTCCTTGCTCTTAGCACAGGGCTTTGTTTCTCAAGCCTTTAAAAATATATTAGACTCTAGATCTGTGAATCTGTGCTGTCACGGCAAAGGCTGGAAAGGAGACTCAGTGGCCTCGATTTTGTCTTTGATTTAGTCGTTCAGAGGAGATTGGGGCAAACTTTGAAACAAATGCTGGCTTTTTATGTGAAATGGAATGTGTTTCATGCACGAGAATGATTCTACAAGTGGCAGAGTGTAACTGTCACTAAGGCTTAGTCTGGTCACCCTTAATATTTCTTCTGTTTTCCGCCATCTGCGACTTTGCTGACTGGGGCTAATGTATTTGTAGTCATTACACACTGAAAGGTGAGCTGAGTGATGTTGGCAAGCTATTTGTGGTAGAATAGCTGCACTGGTCTGAACGTTTCAATAAATTCCAGTTCCTCCTCTGCTATTCCAAAAGCTCCACATTCATCACGCTGATTTCTGGTATGGGTACCGAGCTCTGTCAGTGACTCAAGCGGGAGCTCTGGCCTTCGCTGTGGAGCTTTGGACGTAAACGAACGTGTGGTTCATAAGCCTTTTGGGTGAGAAATATGAGGTGGGAGGTGTCTTAGATTTCCAGCTAAGGGAGCTGGATTTCCAGTAATAGTAGACACCCACAGTTTCCTAAAATTGAAATTTGGGCCTGAATTTGTTTTTGCTGCCTTTTAAGTCTGCATTTTCCTCTGTTACATTAAGGAAACATTTTAATTTCCTTGAGATTCCCTGGTTCATTTTGTCCATCTGGGATTAACCCCACAGGACTATGTGAATATTATGTTTTTTACATGTGAAACTACTTTTAAATGAGGAAAAACTCTAACTTCAGAGAAATCATGATGCTTTTCCTGGTAAGGAAAGAGATCGGACTGGCCTCAGACAGACCTTGGGAGGAGGTAGTTTCCCCTGCTTTTTTTGAGTTCACGAAGGCTGGATTTAGGTTTGTGGCCCCAGATGCACAGCTGGTTGGGGGAGGAGTAGGGAAGAGACCAGATCTTGACTAGCCAGACTTCTTCCCCTAAGAAGTATGAGGATTTTTGTCCAACATCATTACTTTTCATTCTTGGAAAATACCACCCTATTTGAACATAGGCTCTGACGATCCTTGAGCTGACCCAGAATGTTTTAAAAAATGTATTTGCTAAGCATTGTTTCTCTTCCTATGTGCTGCCTGGGTAGAGCTGTGCTAGTGTGTATATGGCTTCTAATTTACATGGTTTGCAGCAAGAGGGAGCTGTTAAGTGGGAGTAAGACTTGCTGCGGTGCTCAGCTTATTTAGCTGGGAGCATCAATCTTGCTGCAGTTCCTCCTGTCCCTTGGCTAACAGAATGGTCTGTCAGGAAGCACTTAATGAAAAAAAACCAAAGACAAATCCTACAGTGTTTTTCAGGCATGTGTGTGCTGCAAGATCAGATTAGTCAACTTAATATCCACATTTGCCAAGAATGCAACTTCTGTAACTATCCTCCCTTTGTCCTAGCTTGGAGTTAAAGCTTCCAGGGTTCCTTCTTGAACCAACAAAAACTAAGTTCAGTGGCAAGCGTGTCATGGCTTTGTTATAAACTTGTGTTTTTCATTGTTTATTGGTGGCTTTGATAGTCCATGTTCGTTTCTTGTTTTTTTTTCAAAACAGATTTGAACGGTATAGATCAGGACGTTCAACACAAAATGCCAGCAATGGAGTAAGTACCTAACTCCGTTTATTATATCAGCAGCCACACCATACTAGTACTGATATCATTAGTATCAGACTTTGTATCTGTCCAGCCCTGTGTCCTCCCTGTAGTGGCTAATAGTGGATACCAGGAAAAGAGTGTAAGAATTTGGCAAACCTCAAGTGGCAACTTTTAGCTCAGGAATACTAAAACATCTCTGTGTTTACAATCCTTGACGGATTTTCTTTCCTCTATTAACTTTTTCGGTTGCTTTTGAGTCCATGCAGACTTTAGGCATTCACAATATCCTTAAGCAGTGAGTTCCACAGTTTTACTAGACATATTTATGTGGGTATGTGTATATAATAAATATTTTGTTTACATTTGAACAAGTCAATTATTTTTATTTGATCCACCTAAATCTTCTTCACTGTGTCTTACAATACCACTGTTCAGATTCATTTTCTTCATGCCACTCATAATTTTAGGAACCTCTCTCATCTCCTTTTTCAGCAGCTCCTTTCCAAGCTAAAGAGTTACATTTCTAATTATTCTTTCAATGAAAACTATTTTATAGTTGTTTTATAGTGTTCAAGGTCTGAGTTCATGATGAATTCATACGTGGCACTATTACATTTTCTATTTTGCTTTCTTCTAACAATTTCCACTATGGACTTTGCCTGTTTGAGTGCCACTTCTGCTGCAGTGTGATGCAAACTTCAGCACAGACTCTGCATTGTAACTTTGGTCACAATAAATGAGTTTTGTTTCTGAAAACAGTTTATACCTAATGTGGAAGATGTTAGCAAATTCAGTTTGACTTAGATCTGATGTTGATCCAGTGCTAAAAGAGGTGGAGAACGTAGACGCATTAGCTAAATCTGGAGAGGTGCAGATCACCTCCAGGAGAGTTCCCTGCTGTGCTGAGCGGTCAAACTTGAGGGTTTTTTGGTGGCTGACCCTTTTTATTCTGCACTCATCACCGTAGTATCCAAGAGACTGGTCCATTTGGCAGTGTGCAAGAGAGATCTTTTTAGGAAGCACCCATTAGTTTTTGGTGTTTAATGTTGAAATGCAAGAAGAAATATTTGGCATGTGTAACTTGCTGTGGTTTTTGTGTCCCAACAGGTACTGAATGAGGTGACAGAAGATAACTTAATAGATTTGGGTCCTGGCTCTCCAGCTGTAGTGAGCCCAATGGTCGGAAACTCGGCACCCGCGTCTTCACTTTCTTCACAGCTTGCAGGGCTTGGTGAGTACCTGATCTAAACAGTTCCGATGAACATGAGGCTGCAATGCATGGACTTTTTCAAGCCTGACCAGTCTGTGAGTCTTGAACAGCCATGTGGGGCTGCTAGGCAATCCAGGTGTGTGAGTGTGGGAGCAAGTCTGAGCGGTTGCTGAGGTCCCTGTGACCGACCTGAACACCTAGTACAAGCTCTTATCGCAGTGAGCTGTTGGGTTTTACGAGGAGCTGTTTTCCTCTTTCACCTGTGGGTCAGGGAGTTTCTGGTCCCTTTGGCTCTCCACTACCTGATAAATGTTGCCATGTAGCCTTCAGAAGGCTTGGGTATGTGGCTTACAAGATTAGGAAAGCTTTCCCATTCCCCTGCACTGTAGCAATCTGTAACTGGGAACCAGCCTGGCACAAAGGGAGGGATTTGGTAACCAAAGGGGAGAGTGAAGGAAAGGATGCAGGTTCTTGTTCGTGGTAAAACTTGTAGTACTACTTTTACTTCTGCATAGGTATAGCTCTCCATTAAATCAGTCTGGTGAATGTTCTTGATTTCCCTTCTACAAATGATATTTGAAATCTTTGGATGAAAGGTTTTATGAAACTGTTAGGTGTTTCACATTAAATCAAACCAAAGATTGCTTGGTATGATCACTTGGTTTGACTGAAGGTTCTCCACCTCTTTCAGCACTGCACCAATATCATATCACTTGATCTGAAACTATTGATTTTACGGTCAATAGCTGAGAGACAATATTGTGGAGAAGATGAGTATCCATGCCCCAAATCTTGGACCATGTTAGTGAATAGTAAATATCTCAGGGTGAGATTGGCAGCAGGTGCACACCAGTTCCCAAATGCTGGCTTCTCGATGAAGAATACTTACAGTGTGGTGCTTCCAGGAGGAATAAGACAATCTCTACATTTGTCCTTTAAGAAATGCATGATTAGCAGCCTCCAGCCTCTTCTGGGCAGAATTGTGCTCAGTGCTACAATGGTTAACTAGATGATATCTGTAGCTGTCCTGTATTGTTAATGACTTCCTCTATAACCTACACAGTCATGGCAGTGGTGCTTGCATATGTTTTGTAACTTCATTGGTTTGGTTTTTTTGCCTCTGGTTGCAGACTTGGGTACAAACAGCGTCAGTGGCACACTCAGCTCTCTACAACACTGTAATCCTCGTGATGACTTCGACATGTTTGCACAGACAAGAGGCAGTTCCTTGGCTGAGCAGCGAAAGAAGTATGTTGGAGTTTGTCTTTAGTTCTGTTTGAGTCATGGCATTGCTCTTTTCTAAGGGCATAAATCTGAAACTTCTTGACTTCATTCCAGACTAAAAAAGTAGTTTTGGTGTATGTTTTTGTGCTTTTAATCCAAGCCCTATCCTGTTGGTCATTATTAATATGAGCAAGTGGAGAAGTTCCTGCTGCTGGGCAGAGCAGACTGGCTGAGTAATGTTATTTGACTGTCTTAGTTAATGAGCTCACTGGAAATGAACTTGCCTTTACTTCTGCAGATGCTTCCTCTCATAAAGGATTGTCATCCCATCCACCCGGCCAGTGCTTGAGATACAGGAGCATAAGGGTCCTTCACCTGAATATACTTTGGTGACTCAATTACTGTCATCAAGGGCTTGGAAACAGAACTACCATCCAGTTAAACTCTCCCTTTGGCCCAGCAGTCAGACTCTTGCAGGCTGTCAAGGCAGTGTAGCTTGCCTGGCTGCCATGCTACCCCTGATTTGTTTATATGCACAGGGCTTGCATCTCTAGAGCTGCAAATCTGGCACTTTCAAGGGCATTTAACAGGTCCAATTATTTTAATATAAAATAAATCTGTGCAATTATTAAGGAATCCTTTGATCCCTGTCAAGTGAGATTCAGTAAAAGACACACTCAGGTATTTTTTTTTCATATATTATTTCTTGCCTTCTTCTGGTTTCAGATTCTAAAGGATGTAGTGGCTATCAGCAGTCAGAACATCATCAATACCTTGTCTCAAACTAAGAAATGTTGTTAAATAGTTTAGCTCAGACCTTAGCAGATTATCAGAAACTTACTAGCTCTGGAAAACTTGAGCCATCAAATTTACTGGGATCTTTTATTTGCAGTCATCAATATAGCTATTAGTACTGCCTCAGTTGTAGTATCAATGTTGAGAAGACGTGCTCTACTGTAGAGCATGTATACCACTGGAGATTTCAGGCGGAGAACCCTAACGTATAGTCAGAAAGGAGATGCATTGCAGAGAGATCTAATGGAGGTCCCTCTGTCTCTGGTGCTAAATGAAGCACAAAACTAGTCTTCCCACACTGCACCTCTATCTCCTCCTGCGAGCTAATGGAACAAAGGAGCACGTATCAGTCCATGATGTCACAAGGGAGGATTGCTATATCTTCCTTCAATTGTACGCTATATAAATGGAGCAGCAGTAAAGATGCGAGTGTGACTTGCCACGGTGTGTAGGAGAGAGCCTCTGGGTTCTGTGCTCAGAGCTTGGGAGAAGCCAACACACTGGAGGGGAAAGTGCTCCTCCTGCTCAGACACGCAGATCCTCCCAGGGGCTGATTTATGGGCAGGTGTTGGCATCTGCTTCAGCTCATGATTCGCCACTGTGCTCTGAGAAATGATGCTATTGCTTCTGTCACCTGACTGCTACATGTCCCTTTTGCAGAGTAATTTAAGAAGCTTTTTAAAAATCCAACCTCTGTAAATAGTGCATTTCTTTGTATGTTTCACTGTAGTTGCTTAGTTACGTTTCATCTGTCTTCAAGTCTCCCTGTGCCTTCCCCCATGCACGCATCAAGTTCAGGCTTCCAAATGTCATCTTCAAAGCTTTGCAAAACGCAATCTGTAATCAGGCCTCTTTTCATAGTCCCCTGCTAGTTCTTGGACATGCTTATGGTGCCTCGAAACCTATTTGCCTACCTTTCATAATGCCAGTCTTTTCTTTTTGCTTCAACATGCTTACAGAAACTGATGGATGGTCTTTATACAGAGCACACTCTTCTTCTTGGAATACCCTTAGTACACCTGAAATCTTGTTACAAAAAAGAACGTGCTTTCTGATTTCCAAGGAAGTAAATCAGAGTAGCAAGTGCATTCTACATGGGTGACTGCTGGAATTCCTTCTAGTTCTGTGGTTTGTTCCTTTCTTTCAGTGTGACATATGAGGATCCACAGGCTGTCAAAGGACTAGCGTCTGCTCTGGATGTTCGAAAACAGAACACAGGAGGGGTAGGTCATTGCTCTGCATTTTGTTATCTGAAGCCGTGCGAGAAATCCAAGCTGTAGGCAGCTGCTTTGACCAAGACTTCTCATTCTGTATTCCAGCGACATGCTAGTACTGGCTGTTTTGAAATTGATATCTAGGAGCAAGTACTTGCTCAGTAATGATCTCTACAGAGCTGCTACTTAGCACCCCAGCCTAAAATCATGGTGTGTAAATTCTCCTGTGTTCTTGCAGCTTGCCTGGGGGGTCTAGCTCTTTGACTGGAATCACTGCTGAAAAGAATAAGTACGGAACATCCTGTGAACACTGGTGTGCATTTGTTTGGTTCGGTTTTGCTTATGAAAGTTCTTGCCATCTTAATCTACTAGACTTTTCTCTAAGAGCATGGATACACGAGCAAGTTACAGGGAGGGAAATTATGTAGACTTTTAATGTTTCACATGCCTTGCCATAACTGCCCTTGCATGCAGTCTGTATTGTCTGTCCCAGGGCAGGCTCCTGCTATCTTGTGTGGGCAGAAGAGGCCCATGTGCTGTCACCTCACAGCAGCTGATGGTAGAAACGTGTTTGAGAAAGCGAGCTTGGCCAGCTTTGTCTGCATACCTTGGTGAAGGCAGAAGTGAAAAGAGCTTTCAGATCATCCCTCGACCCCTTTCTACCACCCTGCTTTTTAAAACTGTCCTGCTCTTTTGTACTCAGCTGTGTGCAAGTTTTTAGATGACGGAGCAAGTTCAGAGCCTTTTCCCAGTCTAATTTTGGTCTGTGCTGACCACTAGGGAGCATGGCAGAGCCAGTGTAGCATGGGAGAGCCAGTGCAGCATGCACACACCTCCCTCCAAGGACAATTGCCTCCCCGTGCCTTGGCTGATCCCGCCCTGGTTCTTTCATAAGTTGAAATGGGAGTGCTCGTGGCAGCTGGCATGCCTGGCAGCTTGTGCTCTGAGCCAGGGAGAATTTGTGTTCGGAGCCAGCTGGGGTCAGATCACAGCTGCCTGCCTGCCTGGGCCATAGTTCAGTGGTAGCAGGGCTTCAGCAGTGAGTTCTTATGGAGCATCCCCCCACCCCACAAATCTGTCTGCTTGTTCCTGTCCCTGTCCTCCTGCAAAAAGGGTAATTTATAACCCAAGTCAGCCCCGTGACCAGATTCAAGCTCGGCCCCACAAAAACCCATGCCAGCAGTACTGAGAGAAAAGGGGGAAGCATGGGGAGGCAGGGACAGAAGTATATTAAGGGGGGTGAGAGAGGAATTCCTGAAGGCAGTGTGACAACCCAAGCCCCCAGTATCACTGAGCTGTGTTATTGGCAGGACCTGGGAAAGGATTTGAGATTCTGCTCTTTGTTCCTGGCTAACCAAACGCAAGGGGCTTGCATTTAGCTACTGGTCACGGGGGCTGTATTCCCCTGGTGGCCACGGGGTCATGTCCTTATTTATTAACACTTTTATTCTCAGCCATTTCTGCTTGAGGCACCAATGCGACGTGTCATTCACACCAGTGTAGCTGCTGCTCTGCCCCAAGTGTTGTCAGTTCAAAGGGCTGTGTCTAAGCTAATCTGACGGTCAAAGTTTTTTTGGGCAAACGTTTTATGGGTTGTGGAACTTTGGGCTCTGAGATGTTGTTGAGACTTTCAGCCTCTTTTCAAAGGTCCTGATGACTGTATCGTGTAATCAGAAAGGCTTGTTTTGAAATGCAGTCTTTTGGTAATTGGTAAACACTACTTTTTACCAAGTGTTGTGAGGCTTGTGGGTGTCTCTTCTTAAAGGAAATAAAAATTAAACTTTCCTAAAGTTACCAGCCCCAGCATGTGTAGGAAAAAACTGGCAGTGCTCAGTAAATGAAAGACACACGTTAATTTGGGTAGAGAGCTAATTTAAGAACAGCTCTAGGGAGGAGCCAAAAGCTTTGCAACACATTCTTCACACACGTCTTGTTCCAGCACAGTTGTCCAGTGGTAAAATTCAGCACATCCGACGTTTCTAATGTAGTCATTCTCAGAATGGTCTGTAGAGAGATGGCTGGTCACGTGGCATTAGCTGTCTTTTAATATGATTTAGCAGCTGGAAACAAGACGAGCTAAAAATACACTGTTTTCTTAATATTGCTTTTCCATGTTGGGAATTGCTTTTGTTGCCACAGAGTTGTTGCATGATCACAACTGGGAGGAGAGGTGTCCAAGAAACAATTCTCTAGTGTTACACAGATAGTAGATGAAGTTGGAGTGATTTCCCCCTTTTTTTTCGCAGCACGAGTACTGAAATGAGACATAAAAGATTACAGCTGATTCTCCATTATCTGTGGTAATGGGGACAGGATACGTATACCCACATATACGGGTATCTGGATGGAAGTACATAAACACACCAGTGGCTCTCTGCTGAGCTAGCCCAGTTCTGGCAGGGCCAGTGGGCTGGAGCCGCTGCGCTCTGCTGGTCCCAAGCAAGCCCCTCCAGAACTAGAGATGACTCTGCATGCGGGCCCTGGCTCAGGGATGAGATGCTGAAAGACAAGAAGCCATCTTGAGAGTCTTTGCATTGCTGTGGCATGCAGTCTGCAGCCTGCACAGGGGGAACTGGATGCATCAGCGATCGTTTTAACCTCTGCCATTCTTAGAGATGGGCAGTTTGAAAGACTGCCAGAACACTGCAGCAAACTGCCATTGCTTACCCTCCTGCTCAACGCCATCATTAGAGCTGTCGTACTGTTAGAGTTTGGGGCAGAGTCTGTCTGCTGAGATCAAGGACGTAAGTAGGGTGTGCTGCAACTCACAGCTTCATAAACACAGGAAACTCCACAGTGCGTAATAGTAGTGTTTTCAGTAAAGTCTGACTGATTTTAGTAGGTTGTAGAGCCTACACTTTTTCTTCTTCTAAGAAGATGACAAACATCAGCCTCACTACTAGTCAGTGATTTTTTTTTTTTTTTTTTTTTTTAATATCAGCATGGAGGAAGTGCTAAAATTCTGTGAACTGTCGGTAGGAAGTGCAGAGGTCGGGGTGAGGTCTGTCCCTCCACGGACAGAGCTGACAGGCAGCAGAGGGGGATGCAGCTGCTGCCAGAAGCTATCATAGACAACTCTGTGTGTATGTATATGTGTATGTGAAGTTTTTAACTTGCTGCTGTTATATTACTTTATCATGGGTTGTTGCTGTGGTTTCTCTCTTTATGGACCTTTCTGTTCTCAACACAGAGGAGAGGTAAAGGTGGGAACTCAGACATGGAGCCCATAGACAAGTGGCTAATTACACAAGGAATGGTGAGGACTTCACCAGTGAAGCGATTCCTACTGCCCACCCCAGTCCCTTTACCTAGAATAACCATCCTCCATTCACCTCTTGTCCTGCCCTACTGAACCACTTGAAATCAGACAGTACAAGGAGTTTTCTTCCCACTTACATCATTACCTGGGGCAAAGGGAAAGATTTGCACCAATTTATACAGCATGAAGGCCTGTAACCAACTGAATCATTTGTAGGATCCCACATAACCTTCAGAAGAGGCCTGGGGATCCAATTAGTTCCTTATACTGTCTTGATTTATTTATGCAGTATCCACTTTTCGAGGGATAAACACAAGTCTCATGGATCTTGTTCAAAAAGAGGACACTTTCTATGTATCTTTAAAGCAGCCTCTTCTGGTAGTGCTGAACTTCATGGTCTGGAATAAACATACGGAGCTTGTAGGATCATATCTAATTGAACTGAGTAATGTAGGGATAGTTCTGTATGAAAGGAAGGGAATGGGAGAACTGCTACCCAGATTGACATCTTCCACCCCAGTCAGGAAATTACACTGGCATTAAGATTCAGACTCCAAAAAGTACGACAGTGTTTCTGGCTTTAAGGATTTAATTCCCGTGTCTAGTGATGCCAGTGCTCTGATAAAATCAAGCTTCTGAAGATCACTAAATCTTTGCACGTTTTGACCTTGTTTGAAGTTGTCCTTCATCAACATGCTTGCAGAGAGAAGTTCAAAAGCCTGCTTTAAGCGCAGGAGTCAGAGGTAGGTAAAAAATAGCCTCAGCTATGCCTTAAAGCCAAGTTCTAAGACCAATTTTGTATTTTTGGATGACGTAATCCATCACTTTAAGTGTTTAAGATTAGTACCAATAATGTGACCTAACTGTACAAAGTCCTTCTGAGACAGTCCTGACTGCAGCTGAGCTCAGAAAGGTGCAGTGCAGAATTCACTCTGGGCTGGGGTGTGCGTGCAGTGCAGCGTGTGGGGCTGTGCGTCAGGAGGCCCATGGAATGGGAATGCCTCACTCTGGGGAGAGCCTTGAATGTCCCGGACGAAGCCACTCAGTGCTTACAAAGAGAAACGTCCCAGAGAGTTTAAGGTTGAGAAAATCCAGAGTGTGCAATATCAGAGTGCACCAACTCTGTGAAACACTTCGCATTTGTTCTTCTAGATTTAGGGCTAATCCAGATTATTTCTGAGGGCCAGCTTGTGAATTTGTCAGAAGCTTGCATAGCTGGTGCATGCACAGTAATTGGATACGTGCATATACACGGTCGTATCTGCCTGTCGGTGCAAGCACCCAAAAGTAGTTCTGTGCCTGCTTAGCACACGTGGGTAAGCCCAGCTGTAGGTACTTGTCCTTGGGCACCAGAGTTTCACTTCAGTGCTCGTCAGAGACCCACAGCTCGTAACATGAGAGTGAAAAGCCATAAAGTGAGCAGCGCTTGCTTTGCCTCTGATACTGTTGACTGTGGTTCACAGAGGCTCTTGCTGTTTGGTGGCTCTGTTGCAGCCAGAGATGTACTATGCCCCTGTTAGATGTTCATCCATAATGAATAATCCAGTGATTGAGTTAGTTCCTCTTCTTTGCCTTTCCACTGTTTACAAGAGCAGGGAAGCATGAAATCGGCACCCCTGCTGTTCACACCACTCACACCACTGCTTTATTAAAAAAACAAACACAATATTCGTTCATTGGCTTGTGGTTATTCAGTCTGGAAAAAGGATACTGCAGCATTCATGGAGGCATACGGATATGGGGAGGGAAG